GAAACAACAACGTAGAGTACATTATCACGAGGATTGTAAACAATTGATTATATCTTGACCATCAACCCCAAATGCCAGATCTCTTGAAAGACCTTTCCACTTAACCAATCCGCAGACGACATGAACATGTAAAGATCCTGCAGTAGAACTTACAGCAACAGATTTCCACAATCTTCTGGCATTATTTCGCAGAATTCTCAACAATTGCAGCCTCTCCAGCATTCATATCCATCAATTCATTCAACCTGTCCACATAGACATCATTTAATGTCACAGATGTATCATTCTTATCCTTCACTGGGATATCTTTGCTTTCAACAGGAACAATATCACCTAAATTATCATTATTTTCAATAGACTGGGAGCATTCCCTATGTGGTGATCGAGACTGCTTCCTATGTTTCGACTTGTGTTCACCATCTGAATGCCCTACAGCAGCCTTACTGCCTTTCCTATTCTTCCTTTCAGTTGACTTCGACCTAGAACGTCTTTTATCGCGGTTTCTTGATTTATCCTCTTTCCTCCCTTCATATTTCTCACTTGACTGATGCTTATCTTCTAGAGATCTGGACCTTGATCGTCTTCGGTGTCTCGATTTGCTCTCCTCCAGAACTCTTGGGGTAAATTTTCGTCCATGATCTTGACCCTCAATAGAACCTGATCTGGAGCGTCTCCTGTTCCGGTTCTTTGGTTTTTCTTCATTTGTCTTGTCTTTCTTATCACAAGAGTGATGCTTAACTTCATCAGACCTAGATAAAGAGTGTCTCCTATGTTTTGATTTACATGCTTCATCACCTGAAGATGAAGATCTTCTCCTATGAGAGCGAGATCTTGAATCACTGTGTGTCGATTTCTTTGTTCTATCAACATGACTTTCTCGGTGGCGTCTAGGTGAGCCTATATCTTCACGGTACACCTTCTTAGGTTGAGGGCTCACACTCCTGCTCCTCTTTCTCCTGTGAACAGGTGAACCATCATCGTGCACTCGTCTTCTATGCTTGTCACTAGCATCCCTACTGTTTCTGTAGTATCTACGCTCCATCTCATAACTCGAGTAATAGCGAGATCTTCTAGGTGATCTGGATCTATAGTCTCGACTGCGACGAGTAGGAGGTGAGTATGACACTGACCTTCGTCTTGATCTATAATTAATAGGAGACATCGACTTGGATCTTGACCTAGACCTTGACTTGGCATGAGATGGAGATGGTGACCTGAAAAATCAAAACTACTTATTGAGAGTTGGCTTGTACAGTTGTACTGAACCAGCTGAATAAGACATAAAAATTACAAACAAGTTTTCTTGCTCAATGGGAACTGACAGAGAATGTAGAAAACAGAATGAAAATAGAAAATATTCAAAGAAAAATGAATGTCATATGTAATATTCAGGCAAGGAATACTACACCATAAGATCAGCTGCAAACTAATGGCACAAATATAAGGACCGTTTCACAGTTAAATTCAGGCAGGCAAGTCATTCCAAAGAGACAGAAACAATATCTTCTTGCCCGCATATCATATAATGAACATTAATCAGGTGAAATCATACGAAGACACTAAAAAAAAAATCGTCAACTAATAACATTTAATGGCACTAAGAGACGTAGGCATACCTAGACTTCTTGCCAGATTCCTTCTCCTCTACAACCAGTCCATCAGCTTGCAACTTCTTACTTATCTCCGCAGCTCTAGCTGCAGCTAATTCTGTTGCAGTCTTCACTGTAGCTGCACGGTTAGCTGCCTGCTGGGCAGTCAGCGTTTGCTGCATTAATAGAGCCTGCTGAAATTGCATTTGTTGCATGGCAACAGCTTGCTGCATCACCATAGGCAAAGACGATGAAGCCAATGGTGAATTCAAAATGGGTTTTGGAGGTAGTGATTTTGCCATTTCGACATTCAATGGACGACCCCCAACATCCATATTGTTCAGTGCCAACGCAGAAGTGGCTTCTTCTGGCTTTGAGTATTCAACATAGGCTACATGTTTTAAATCGGTAATTGTACACTCCACAACAGTTCCACAAAAGCTAAAAAGCTGTTTCAACTGATCGACAGTCAGAAGTGGGCTGAGGTTACTAACTTGAACAGTACTTTTAAGTGAATCAGCCTTCCGTTCGTTGTCAGCAGAACCTAATACACAACATAAGGTTAGAAAATTGTTGACAATACAAATGAATTTGACAAAATAAGTTCAAACATTATCTCCTTAAAACAATCCCCATTAGGGGAAGAAGCTCCCGGATAATTGTTATTACGACTGGCATTTCAATAATAAGTTCTGCACTCGCACACACGTAAATGTGTATATTCATCTAAAAGAGCAATATATGCAAGGATGAAATATTCCATCTAACCAGAATCCTTCGAGGACTGAGCTTGGGCTGCAGCATGGGCTTGAAGGGCTTGAGCAGCAACAATTGCCTGAGCAGCAGCCATTGCAGCAGCAGACGGTGCCATCGGCACTTGACTCAATGTTCCCATTGTAGTGGTGGCAGCTAAAGCAGTCATCAGTAGATGCTGAGGTGGGTGATTAAACTTGCAGTCAGTAGCAGCACATCGTCCATTAAGGTACTCTCGGCATATTTCTCCTAAAGAGGAACCTACTCCAGGCAAAACCACTCCACCCAAGGCCCCAGAAGCAACACCTGGAACAACACCAAGCAACCCTGGGAAAGCACCAGATACAGAACCAGAATAATTTGGCATGTTGGGCATGGTTTGGTTCACTAAAGTGTGGAAGGAAGCAGCTGGAGCCATTCCAAGAAGACCACCAGTGGGAGTTCCTAAATAACACAAAAGACAAGTTAAAAGCTCTTCCCATACAACTAACTAATACAACTTTCCCAGTTGGCCCCCTGTCAAAGAAATGAAGTATAACAGGTTTTGAAAGTCTGTTGCAACAAAATGGTGCAACTGTAAATTGAAAAAATAATAGAGCGTACAAACAAAATTTCAGAATTTGACGTGAACAATTTGTTTGATTATTCTTATTATATGATTTTTTTCATGCACATGTTTTATCAAAAAGATGTGCAATACGAAGTCTTTGAGCTACTTATTTGTAAAATGTAACCAATTAATTATACAGCACCACAAAAAATCTTTAATCATAGCCTGTCAATCCACTATAATTCTTAACATAAATCAGAAACACTGGTCCAGCAAACCAACTTATAAGGCAGCAGCTATGTTTCAAGGCAATATAAAGCTCATTGCGCATATGTGGTGTTTATGCCATACAACATAAGGTCTAACTGAATTAACCACCTGATTCCAGCATGTTTATGTCACACTAAAACCCTAATTAATTAAGTCCTAAAGTTCTTTTGATCTATATCTCTATGAGCAACCAAAGAGCATGTCTGCACTAGGCTTCATTCTAATCCACAATTTTGGAGTTGTGGCCTTTAGAATTTTGTGAACAGTAAAAATACCTGTTTGTTGTAGGGCTGAGAATCATTTCTTTAACTTAAAATAGAGATTTAAAGCATCTCCGGGAAGTGGATGATGTTGTATTATTACACTGTACCTATTAGCAAGCAGTATTCGTTGAAATATAAAGAGAGTGAGAGAGAGAGAGAGAGAAATAGCAGCATGACGTGATCAAACTCGAAACAGATAGTGTACGACGAGGTGGATAGGGTAGATACATAATAACGGCTAGGTTGAAATACACTGTTGGTTGGGCATATGTAATTCAAACATAGCAGACAGGCCCTAGGGCACACATAAAAAACAAACCCAAAATGCAATATTATCCAAGATCAACACATTTTCATCTAATTCAATAAATCATCATCATAATTGATTCACTCAATAGCACGCACTTATTTTTCCAGTGATGACATTCTAAAGAGTTTCCACCACTACAATATCAATATACAAACCCGAAAAGCAATATCATGAAGGAACGAGCACTGGCATCTAACTTACATACAAGGCATCATGAGCTAGTACAGAATCCAGCAAGCTAGAAGCTAATCCTTACAACCTTCAAAACAGTGGCCTTCATATTAATCCAATAAATAACAAATAATCACTACAACATGACAAACTACTGTCTGTGAGTCTGTCCTTTGACATGCCTACTGTTATAGGTTCTAATTAATAAAGATGTGGGATCCGTACTGTGATGTAAATAAAAATCATAAGGCATGCATTTATGCAAAACTTCTGGCACTAGGGTTCTAGAGTTTGCATCAGATGCCTCAGGGAAAGTACTTCTACCAGGTAGATAAAAGCTCCTTAAAGCATCTCAGGATCACCAATAGCCCTCTGATACGTAATTATGCACATACACATACAATTATGCTCAACGATCTATCAAACTACATTTTACTTAAGAGTGTTACATTCAGCCATATAGAATCTTGAATCCATGAGACACCCTAGAACTAAATATACATACATCACAATCACACCATGATAATGTAATCTACTTCACTTAATGCAAACATTTAGAAATAAAAATAATTATATGGAGACATAATTAATGTGTATCTATATAAATTGTATCTAGACTGACACAAACACAATTAAATGGGCTCTTCCGTCTACTCATAGATAGCTATATTACTTTAACAATACAAAAGAGAATTTAACCTGCGCTGAAGAAGACAGGGAAAGGACTTCCCATAACAGGCTTCCCGTTGCACTCCACATGTACCATATAACTTCCCCTCTTAGGAACCACATAAGTCACACTGTAACTTCCATCCCCCATATCCTTCACTATCCCGTCCTGCTCATCACCTCCAACTCCAGCATCTGGAGAGACACGAACCTTCACTTGAGCCCCACCCTGAACCACCTTCCTCCCATCGGCATCCTTCGTGAGTACTGTAAACGTGGCCCCCACGCACGCCGTGCCTCCAGCAATCCCTGCCCCTTGTGCAGTGCACCTGGAAGGGTCCACGGGCCCCACGGAGCTGTTCATCTCAGATGCTCTGTCATCACCGTCGTCAGAATCCGAAGAGGCGGGTGACGCGGCCGATGGGGGTTGAGGTTGTTGAAGTTGGGAACTGTTAAAGGTGGCTTCGAATGCGGCTTTGGCAGCAGCGGCCTTCTCTGCTTCGCTCTTCAGCTTGGCCTCCTCCGCTTGTTTCATCCATATCGGCTTGGGAACCGCGGCCACTACCGCCGCCGCCGCAGAATTGTTGCTGTTAGCTGTAATATTGTTCCGATCTGCCATGAAATTGGATGTATCGAGAAAACCCTAATTTCAAGTGAAAAGGGAATCTAATCTACGGATACGCAGGAGCGGGATAAAGTCCGCACCGCAGTGTGGATTGGAGATGTGGAATAGAAAAGAACAGAAAATAATGTGCGGGTGCACTCCTCCTTCAAGGGTTTTCACGTCTTATGGTCTTAGGGCATGTTTGGCGAGGGAAGAGCTCGGAAATAATCCTACTGGTAGAATATTAATATGTTCCTTTTAATTTTAATTTTAATTTTTTAAGCATGTATAACGTCTAATACTTTATTTATAGTTGGACAATTTAACATGGTCGAACACTAGTGTATAAGTAAAAAAGTGCTCATCTCCTTTTACAGTTCAGTAGAAGACATATGGTTTGGGACCCATTGATACATTACTAATTCAATTATCACCTTCAATTGTTGTCTATATATACCAACTTGGTTTTCCCTCTAAAGTCACTACACCAAAATGTACAAATTTTATTTATTTTTACAATCATGTGGGATTTTCCATTGCCAAAGGCAAAGGATGAATATTTTCAGTTTATACGAGATGACTTTTCAAACAAATGGCTTCCAACAATTGAAGAATTATTTTTGTACCATCCAATATGAAGGGTTGACAGCGAGACTGACATAGTTATGCCATTTGACGGAATTTACCAAAGTTGTTTGGGTGAAATAGATCAAAATTTGACTTTTAAAGAATGTTATGTCACGTTCATGGTGTTGAAAGACAAGTATTGAACATTTAAATATTTTCTAGAACATGAAAACGGGCGTTTTCGACATACAACGAAGACTATCGATATTGACGACGACGATCGTGAGGCAGCATTTGTGGTATGTTAAAATTAATTTGTTATCTTTTTTTTAACAAAATTGTTTTATTAGTAACTGTTTTTTAAAAACAACATTCATTACTGTATACGGTTCATAAATAAAAAAAAAAAAAAAATCAGTTTGGGCATTAGCACACCGTTACTGTAACAATCCTGAGCCTCTTTGGGAAGTCTTGAAAATAATTTTCGAACCCCTACGGCTTGACCCATATCTTGAAGAACTTTTAGCGAGAACTCGGCATACCTCTCGCAAACTTGATCAACTAATTCAGGACTACCGGACTGAAGAACGACATATGGCAGCTCGAAGAAGCAGGAGCGGAAATTGACATTGCAGTTGCGTAGCTACTTTTTAAATGTGCCAGATGTAGCGTTATTGTATATTTCGCACTTTCATATTTCATGTTTTTTATGAATAACTATGGTTTGTTTGTAATGTCAATTCGAGTCTGTATTGTATTGTGTAGAATGTCATGCAACACCATATTGTATTTGTTGTCGTTTGTTGAAACTCAAATTAGCTAATTTGAAAATGCAATAATAAACTTAAAAATTATTAGTCATAAAGTACGCCAGAAGATAATTATTGTTAAAATGTTTGTAAATAAATTTAGTTACATTTATTATTATTTTTAATATAATAAAAATACATATTAATTATTTATCAAATTTTACATCTCATACCGGACCGTTGTCATGGCCGGTTCACGGTTGAACCGGCCGGTCCGGTTTTCAAAACCATGGTTAATACTTAATACTCCATCTCAAGTGCAAGGAAAATTGCAAGCAAAGTTGTGTACTGAGTTGCAACAAATTTGATATAGCCGATAACGAAGACCCAATTTCCCAGCCCGAAACTAACTTGAATTCTACTGTTCAAGAATACAAGTTCAGATAATTTCAACATAATTTGTATCCAATAAATTTTCATCTTCCAGGGAAACCCCACAAATTGGCCATGCCTTGTAACACTTGACAATATTTCCTAGAAAGTGGATGTTCAAATTACCATGAGAAATTGCAATTGAATTGCAAGAGCAATGTTACGAGCCAAGATCAAGAACAAGGTGTACGGTTTTTACTTTTAACCGGCGACCCCTATCACACAAAATTAACCACGGGTTGCGATTGACATTATTAAGTAATTTTATCGACAGCAATTTCCACACCTGAGTTACCACTAGTGTCTGCATGAGTTTTCAGCACCTGTAATGCACAAAAGAATTTTCAGAACTCCGGGTATTAAGTACCAAGAAAATAAATATAAATATATTATGGAACGGAGGGAAAGATAATGACAAAGGAACTAGAGCAAGCCCAACAAGAGCAATTAAAGGCATCCTATACCTGATACAGGTACCAAGAGACATATGCATCAGTGACAGCATATTTTATTTGTTCTCTTGATAGAACACCAACTTCCCAATTTCCCATTCTGATTTTACCTGGCTTGGGAAGCTGCAAAAGTCAAAATGCACTAGTTAGAATTTAATGAACCGAGCACTAGCTCTTGCACTCTCATTCGAACCACATAGATGACCATTTGTTATACTGAATACACATGACAGACACGAAAAAACTGTAAGGGAGTAGAATTTGAAGGTGATTCAAATGATAGGTGCATGAAAAATTACTTCTCTAATAAATAAAAAATCATTTTTCCCCACGGCCATCGGAGTGTATGGAATGTAGCCCATTGCAATAGAAGTAAAATCAGAGCACGAAGTACTTGAATAGCAATGGAGAAACACATGCATTAAACAGTTGCCGATTTTTTGATGTAATAATCAAGAAAAACATACAATTTTACAAACATGAAAGCCAGGTCGAAGTGCAAAGTGCAAACACTCTCAGCACCTGACACTTTGGCTCGTATCCACCAAAATACCATGCAAATTGCCACCATGGTTAGAGAAATTTATATATTTTGTATAAATACAAAGGCTTGTTTTGTAACACATCAAGTGCTGCATATTAACAGAATCAAAAATTTCTAACCCCATAGCATATCCTAATTTCTGACATGCAGATAACTAATTTCAAGTTCAAGTCAACCAAAAGCTACCACAACCAAATCTTGAGGGACAGATTCAAAATTTATTTTTTATTGGATTTATGCTTATAATTAATATTTTCCATTATTTTAATAAAACTGGTATATTTTATCATAAATCATACAAAATGTATGAAAAACTGAAATACAAACTTAAATACTATTAAATAAAAGTACGATGAAGTAAAAGTAAATTAAAAAATATATGTTGAAAATTCAAAAATAAAATCAATCATTTTTTATTTGTGTAAATTTGACAGCTAGAAAAGTCTCACCTGTGTTTAATCTTTCTACTTAATGGTGTCTTTACTATTGTTTTAAATCATGATTGTTGTTGTCATTGAGTAATAATTTTAAAAATCAATGAATGACAATATCTTGAAAATAATGATGTTCATAAATACGAAGATAAATTTTAACATGAAAGATTTGTAAAAAATCAGAGATGATTATGGACTATGGGGATTAAACTTCTAAGATATCAGAAAGAATTGTTTTATCACAATTTCATCAAGTCAAAGCATTTGAAAGAGATTCAATGTGTTGGATAAAACTCCAGCTAAGTCATATGTAGACTTGACCCTACACTCATCAAGAAAAATCGAGAATAGCCAATTTCTCAGCTAGAGCATGCACAATGATTGGAAGCGTGAGGTACTTGTCGAATAGTACTCACTCCAACGTTGCATTTTAGCGAATAAACTTAAAGATGAACTCGAGCAATGGATTTTGGTCTTGTTGAATCGGCTATTGGACAAAAACTAAGTCTACAAGTGAATACGTGTTCACTACAGGCGGTAAAGTTGTGGCCTAGATATAGTCTAAGCAAACTTGAAAAGTTAGATCAATAATGGAGTCCTAGTTTAAAAATTTGAACAAAGTTGGGAAGAGGTTGAATGATGATTGTATATAACTAAACTCAATCCATACTCAAAATCTAACTCAACTTTAACCCTACCCACTATCCTTAATATTATCAATATAATTAAATAATACCAATCAACCATTTTTACACATCACATCAACTTTAATTCACTATCATTCACTCGCATAATTTTAACTAACCATCACTTCACATCATCTCTCTCCTACTTTTATATCAAATCAACTTAATTATTTTATTTTAAATATTATTTTAATATACAATCAAAATCTCAATAACAACTAACCATACCATATTTTTGAAAATTAATTAAAAAAATTCTTTTGAGCGAATATACTAGTATCCAAGCACGCCATCAAAAGTTTCCTAAAAGATAATCCTTGTTGTAAACGGTGCCCACCATAATGATTATTTTTTATAATCAATAGGTGATTTAAAGGGCACAAAGTAAAATATACAATGATATGTCTAGGTATTTACGTTGAAGACTTAATTACGTAAAACAAATAACCCCGTGTAAAGGTTATATCGGTTGGCTACGAGAAGTTAAATATTAATGCTGACGGTTCTTTTACAAAAAGCTTGAAATTAGATAAATTGTAAAAACCAGTTAGAGAAATGAGCTTAACAAAATCTACCACAAACGAGCAAGCTTAGCGCTAACTCAACCATGACAATCAAAGATCCCAAAATCTAGATTCAATGGAAAAACTAGGTTTCGTCTGTTCAGTGAAACACTCGAAAAGCATATCCATTCACTCATAGAACCGTCAACTTTAAAAGTCGGCCAAGTTGTGAGGATAAGTCATGGATTTTTGATGATTCTTATACCCATGGGTGAAGTTAGGAGGAATAATTTTCATAAAAGAATCGTTTATGTAAGTGAGAAGTAATTGTTTGCTTCAAATGAACACTTACTAAACCGAGACATGGTCCAAGGCCAAAATTCACAAAACATAACAACACGAAAGTGTTAACTTCTTGTCGTGTGAATAACTATTGTCTTGGTACACACAAATGAATTTCAAATCATATCGCTCCAAATGGGCTAGTATATCCGATATCATTTCACTAAAAAAGATTCAATACCACAAGTTATTTATCCTCATGCAAGAACTATTTGTAGGAGCTTTCAAGTATTGCCGACGTGCATTAATTTCATTCATGTGGTGGATTGTAACAAAAATAGTTTTTGTACCCATTTTACGTTTTAATTTTTTTAAATGGAAAATTTAGAAATTTTCTCAATACCATTTTAAGGTAAATGAGTATTTAATCCTAAAATATATGTAGGAATAATCTAAGGGTTGAGCATGAGAAGGCTCAGTTTAGTGATATTTGTATTTCAGTTCGATTCAATTCTTCGAAGCTATCGGGGATTGTTCGAATTCGTATGGTCCGAATAAAATATTCGGAGATTCCTAATTATTAAATTGAAATAAGAATATAATTTAGTAATTTTCATCATTTTTTGTAAGTACTACCCAGTAATAATATAATATCAATATTTTTTAACTTTCAACTTTTAATGAATTTAAATCATATTAAGATCTTTATTTTTAAATCACCATTAACAAATAAAAATTTAGAAAAAACATAAATGAATCACAGTTCTAGTTAAATTATAATTATTTGTGAAAACAAAAGGTGAAAAATTAAGTTCCTGATAAACTATATTTTCTGTTTTCATATCATTTTAACTGTAAGTAAGATATGATAAAAATAAAAAGCAAAACAAAAAAACTTTTAGAAATATTAAATTTGTATGAAGTTTAATTGCTATTATTATATGTTATTAAGTATTAACAAAATAAACAAGTAATCTACGACTAAAATAGACATAAAAGCAAAAGAAAGACACATTTAAAGTTATAGTTCGGTTGAGTCCTCAAAAAAAATATTTGTGCAATCTGAAATCATACCAATTATTTTTTTCGATTCATTTCGGTTTGAAGAAAGTAACGGTCAACAATTATTTTTTGCGTTCGAAGTAAATTTGGTTCGGCTTTCGGAACAATTCGATATTCTACAGACCTATGCTTCACCATACTAAAAATTAAGTTTAACTAATTCAAAAATTGTTGGAATCGGAAGCGTTCGGTCTTTGGCGAATGCTCGGGAAAGCCACACAAGGGATATGAAATGCACTAGGCGTGATAGAACTCAAAAAAGGGTTTGCTGAGGACCAATATGACAGCCGTGCACTTTTTGGTGCCCGAATATGCACGTATAGATGCACGGCACGCAGGCATGCGCTTAGCTCCATCTTGGCCCGCGACGACCGCCACGACCAGTGATGGTCCAGCAACGACTGCTCACGAATATAATTTCAAGTGATTTATGTGGAAGTTCATATATTTATACAAATTATTAATTCTTCTAAAAATTTTGTAATTAAATTAACTATGTATGAGAATGAATTACGACAAATAGGAGGTATTTGTAAGGTATTTATGATTTGTTCTTCTTACTATAAGGTACATTAAGTAATTAATCAAGTATATATCAAGTTCAAATCTAACAAAAATAGGATGAATAATGTTGATTCTCGAAAATAAAAAAAAAATAGACAATTGAGAGAAAGAAAACAAGATTAGGTCATTTTATAACTTAGAGAGAGGTAATATTTGTCTTGTTCATCATAAAATTATATGCACTTCAGAAATTTCTTGGAAAATTCAGTATGGGCCTAGGCCCACACTGATCCCTTAATGGATCCGCCCCTTTTTTTGGGTGTGACCGTTCATGTCCATGCACGTCCTGAAATGTACTTTTTGACCCTTAAGACTGTGGTGATGTGTTCCTACATATATAAATATCTCTATAAACTTGAAATTTATAAACATACTTAGCATAAATATAAAAATAAAAAATTGAGATAAGAAATTAAGATAGAACATATGATAGTCATGTTCATCTTGTATTTATTATTATTTTTTCTAGAGGATCTTAAACACAACTGAGTTCACCTAATGTATATGAAGTGCCACTATACACAAAATAAAAATCGTATTTGTGGTTCGTGTTCGTGTTTGTTGTTTGATCAAGTCGTTTGTCATTATGTTCATGTTCTTTGTTATTCTCCAAATGACAAGTACGTACACTTGTACACGTATATAGTCAAGGACTGGTGGGTGAAGCATTAATACTATATATATTCAAGAACTGGCTCGTGAAGCATTAATACTATATATCGTGGATGCTAACTTTGGGGAGACCTGGTATAGCCCCACACATGAAACATACGTAATGTGAGAAGGAGCGCATTAGCCACCAAAGTGAGGTATTATCCTAAAATAAATTGATGAAATGAGAGTAGTTTACTAGGCTTACAAGGCAGTATAATAAAACAAGTGACATCTCTCACAAGGTATAATAACTGTAGCAAATGACTACCTAAAACTAACCTAATTTAATCAGAATATTCCTACAACATGATGAGAAACTGAAGATCGAAAATGTCTAAGGGATGTGAAACAATTCTAGAAATATATGAATAGTCCTAGCTAGGAGCGAGCTAAATAGAATCGAAACCAAAAAAAGTGAGCCCAATTAATCAATTCGTGAGGTGCGATTCATATTTTTTTTTTCTCAAATGGTTGCAATTTGGTTTCATTTGTAAGATCTGTTTTCCCGGTTTGGATCAGTCTTTTGTAAACAGAAGTTAACTATAGTTGCAGTAGGCACACTTGAAGAATTACTAGGGAATAAATTGGTTTGACCAAAATTTGATTATTTCATTAGTTACATCAAGTTTAACTATGATTGATGTCAACTGTGAAATTATCAATAATGTTTGAAATTTTATTTGTATGGGTGATTGGATATAAATTATACCCAATTTCGTCTCGTCGGATAAATTGCATTCGTTAGATATGTGATTGGATACACTTTATTCAAAAAACCTACTTTTCATCTATTTCTGACTTTTTTTTCTACGATCTTATCAACACAACTAAAAATATAAATCAACACATTCTCCAGCAAAATTATTATTCCCCGACTCACATGTTTTTAATTACCAACCAATTATTAGACTACTCTTATATCACATCAATTTTAATCCTAACATTTTATCCATATTTAGTCACAAACTAAAACATAAACCATCCTTTCACCCAAAATTGTTTTCCATATTTTTCATCACATTTACTATTGAGATAATTTTTTCTGAAATAATTCGTTTCCAATCACTTTTTCATTTACAATCTATTTCAGACAATTAACTTGAGTAATTATCATAAAAAATACAAAATTATCATTGCACATTAATCTTTTATCTAAACTGTTCAATTTGACAAACTACCAGTCTATAATTCTTATTCTTTTAAACTATTTCAATTTATTGTTAGAAATATCGGCCATATTTGTCCCAATGCCTATTACACTGGCAAATAATAAGAAGTTTCAAAGAATCATTCTCCTAAATCGTTGACGAAAAATTTCCAGAATGGCTATTCAAGTACCTGTTTGTAAATGAGCATCTCAGTTAGCGATGATAGACTCCACTGCTTGGGTTTCCCACCGAGGTTTTGATTGGCTAGATTGGAAAGATCTTCTAAGTTATTAATTAATGCATTATAATCACGACGGACCTTAGCTGCATCACTTGCAATTCCCACACCCACCTATGAGCACTCAATTGGTTAAGATGAGAAACAGTACTAGAAGAAAATTAAAAAAAAATAAAAAAATTA